TGTTCCCAGTCCATGCTTCGCTAACCATTAAAGACTTCAAAGCATCCTTGTGCTTGTACAAGCTCTTCAAAGTCAAAAAAGCTGTTGCAAAACGTGTGGCTGCTGGCCTCACAAGGTCAGCCCCACATGTTTTCTCCATCATGGCACTAAGGATCCTCCCATGCCTATAGATGAAAGTTGTCACACGCCTTGCACGTGTAATAGGTTTCTTGAATTCCGAAAAGTTCCCTATCTTCTAACATGAGATCCAAGCAATGCGCATCACATGGACTCTAAAATATTGTAGGAATCCTGTCCATGAGAATCTTGCCTGCAGCCTTGAAGTTAGCACCATTATTTGTGACAACTTGAACAACCTTGTCCTTCCCAATCTCCTCAACCTTCTTCTCTAGCAAACCAGCAAGCATGTATGCATCATGTACTTCACTTGATGCATCAATGGACTCCAAGAAGTAAGTCCCCTCCGGGCTGTTTACAAGGAAGTTAATTAAGTGGCGTCCCCTCCTATCAGACCATCCATCAGACATGAGTGTGCAGCCATAATGTTTTCATGCTCTCTCATGCTCCTCTCTCATGGTACTTGTTGACTTCACTGCTTCTTGAAGTAATGGATCCCCAAGTTGATATGGTGTTGGAGGCTTGTACCCTGAACCATATTGTGTTGTGGCCTCAACTGCAATCTGAAATTGCCTTGGTACTGCTGCATTAAAAGGTATGCCACATTCATAGAAGAACAAGGCCCATTGTGTATCCACATAATGCTTCTTCTCCTTGGTTTTTGTACTGGACACAAGTGTGGGCTGATAAGACCCTGAAAGTCTCTCATCTACTATCTCTTCTGGTGTTTTTCGAAGCATCTCAACTACAGATTTATTTGCCTTTCCCTCTGGTTTAGTCTTGTTGCCAACAACCATGAATTGTAAGGATGCTTGCCTCTTTTTTGCTGCTGTCTCTGAACTAGGCTGTACCGCAGCAGCAGCCTCATTTGCTGCCACCTCCACCACCTCATCATCTAGAACCAATGGTCTTTTCCTCTTGTTTGCATCCAAGTAAGCTGCCATCTCCCTCCTAACTTCAGAGCTCACACCTGAACATAGTTTTGCATCTCTATAACCTCCTGCCAAATGTTGTTTCAACCTTTTAATCCCTCCACGAACTGAGCCGCCACATAAGGTGCATGCCACCTCATCTTTGTTTTGTAGGTTCGGCCAATAGCCAAACCTCCACGCTGGGTCTTTTGACCTTTGCGGCTTCTGGGCTGGATCATTCTTGGGATCATATTTGCTGACGATTGATGGTGGACTTGACATGGTTCCTGCTGCATAATTTTTATAAACCAAATGAGTTCAGAGTTCAGACTTCAGAGAATGACAAAGCGTAGGAATCAGTAAACTACCAATTTAATTATCTACTAGCAGTCTAGCATAGAGCACAAACAGAGCAGCAGCAGCTAAAACAGAGCACAGAGCAAGAGCACCCTCCAGCCTAATAAACAAATCAAATTAGCATAAAAGGCAGTGCAATTAGCATATAAAACAGAACAACAACAACTAATGTACTGCTCCATTTAGCATCTATAAATCAAAGCACAAGTAGACGAAGCAACAACTGTACCCATGTGCTATCTACTCTAAGCAGGGGACAGCCGCATGCAAGCTTCACCCTTTCTAAAAGCAAACAAAGCAGGGGACAACAACACATGCCACATGCAAGCTTTGGACCTTTTTAAGAGAAAAAACAAACAAAGCAGGGGACAGCAGCACATGCCACATGCAAGCTTTGGACCTTTTTAAGAGAAAGAGAGAGAGAGAGAGAGAGAGAGAGAGAGAGAGAGAGAGGAGGCGAGGGATACCTGGTCCAGTGGAGGGCTGGCCTGAAGGCTGAGCGGAGCTGGGCACCGGTGAAGCCATCCTCGGTCCGTAGAAGAAGCTGGTCGTCCTGGCCCTCCTGGTTCGTGCGGACGGACGCACGGGTCCGCACAGAGGAAAGCGGAAGACGGGCAAGCAGACGCGCGCGGGAGGACTCGCGGCTCTGAGCGGACGTCCGAGCGGACGCGAGCGAGAGGACGAGCGGGACCTGGCCGCGAGTGGGGAAGAAACTCCAGCAGGGTCTGCCTCTCCCCCTCTCTTCTCAATGCCCTATCTCTCACAATCCCTCTCTATTCCTGCGCAATTTCCTCTACGCGCGCGCAGGAAACGACGGAAGGCGGGAGAAGTCCCGCGCGGGAGCGATTTCCCGCCCTGGGTCCCTTCCCTTTCCCACGCGCGGCTGCTCACGAGTATGGCGACCGCCTCAGGCCGGTTGGCGACGCCCCAAACACCTAACGCGAAAGGCGGACGCCTTAGACGCCAAGGTGGACGCCATACGGCTCCTGGCTAGGCGACCCCCGACGCCCAGACATTTTCGTCGCCTGGACGCCTAGTCGTCGCCTAGGCGACGCCTTTAAAACATTGTTTTTAACTTTATCAAACCAAATCAAGCTATACAACATATGAGTACTAATCTTTGATAACATTATGAACAAAAAGATTAAGTAATTTGGGTCACGAAGAATCAAGAGACAAGTGATAAACATGCTTCGTCAAATGTCCAAGTAAGAAAAAGAAATAACTTCAAACTACTTTGGGTGTTGTTCCTACCTAATTACAGAATGCCAGTGTCTGGCTGCGAGCTCAACCTAGATGGCGTTCAGGGTATGACTGGGACATTCCAGTATCCTCTGTAGGTCACTGAAGGTTCTTAGCAAGGACACATGAGCATAGCCTCGCGCATAGAACATCGGTAGCCTTGTGAATTGTGATTATGGCCAGCTCAAGATAAACAAGTCTAGCACAGTCTAATTCACCACGACTTCACCATAAACAATGTTGCAAAATGAAGACTGAAAGGCTGTGGCAATTGGAAGCACTTAGAATAGCCTATCTGTTTGCTGCACCTCCTCAAGAATCATGCTAAGAACGAACAATCTGATTGCTGCAACTGGATATAAAACTCTAGAGATAGTGTTAGAGTATGTCAGGGGACTATTGGACCTGGGTTGGTTGTATAGCCCATTAGTGTGAGGGTTAATTAGAGATAAGGGTCGCTTATATAAGGGTCAAGTAAGCCTTGCTTGAAAGTCAAGTAAACCTCTCTATATAAAGAGAGAAGATGTATTGATCTAATAAAGCAAAAATTAAGAAGGAAATTCCTTCCCTCTTGCTCGGCTGTGGGCAAAGGCCCCGCGGCCGGCCTCTCGTCCTCGCAGCCTCCCTCGCATGAACAGTACCCGTGCTACTGTAGCCCGCACGTACTGTAGCCGGACCGTCGCCGCCTCTCCCCCAACTCTCTCCCTCTCAATCCTAGCAACCACATAACAATCTGGTATCAGAGATCTCTGGTTCGATCTCTAGCCTTCTACCGAGTTCTTTCCACCCGCCGCCGCCGCACACCCACCCGCCGCCACCAGCGTCTTCGTCGGCGCTGCTGCCCCACACAGCAGGCGCGCCGGCATTGGGCGCGCTGGCATCCTCAGGGGCGATTGCGCCCTCTGCCCCGGCGCCGTCCGCCCTCGTCCTCACCCCGGAGCAGATGACGGCCGCAATCCTGGAATTAGGGCAGGCCGTGGCGGGCATCAGGGCTTTCCTCGCCTCGCACTACGGCTGGCCAGGCTATGGGACGACAGTCGTCTCCATAACCGGCGCCCAGCAGATCCCAGTCACGGGCGAGAAGTTGCAGCAGATCGAGCAGCCGATGGACATCGCGATGACGTCGGCGGGGAAGATGCTTACCCGCCAGGTGTCGGTTGCGGTGCGGCTGCAGGCTGCTACGCGCGACCTCCTAGCACGTCGGCGGGTGCGGGAGATGCGCGATCTGCAGCTGATTCAGCCCTGCACTCCTTCGCAGCTCCTCCAAGTTACGCTTCGCTGCGCGGAGGACCTCGATCTCGTCCGCTGCGTCGGGGATCTCGGGCATGCAGTTTCCCCCACGGGCGGCAGGCATACTATTTTCCCTGCGGCCGGCGGTTGGGGAGGCGCATCCCTCCACCTCGTTCTCTATCGAAAGCCCTCCGCTCTTCTCTGTGCGGTGCAGACCAACAACCGTCTGGCGGGGAGAAGGCGTGGGGTCACCAGCGAGAGCGCACCGCGTAGCGCCGTCGCATGGTCGCTGTTGCGACCACTTCTAGGTAGCCATACACATGTACCCCTTTCGTCTAGATGGTGTCCATGGGATCCAGGAGGCTGTACACATGCAGGTTTGGCGTGCGGATGGTGTCCACTTTATGTTCAGGAGTCAAAAATAAAGAGTCCCAGTCCATTTCAGGTTGAGAATAATAAAATAAGCCAAGAGGTAAAAGACTTGTTTTTAGGTGTTAGGAGTCGAGTCAGCGTTATAAGTTCGTTAGGTTGCAGCTTGAGGACGAGCTACATGTTTAGGTGGGGTGTAGTGTTAGAGTACGTCAGGGGCCTATTGGACCTGGGTTGGCTGTATAGCCCATTCTGCATGTTTAGGTGGGGTGTAGTGTTAGAGTACGTCAGGGGCCTATTGGGCCTGGGTTGGCTGTATAGCCCATTAGTGTTAGGGTTAATTAGAGATAAGGGTCGTTTACTTAAGGGTGAAGTAAGCCTTGCTTGGGAGTCAAGTAAACCTCTCTATATAAGGAGAGGAGATGTATCGATCTAATAAAGCAAGAATTAAAAAGGAAATCCCTTTCCTCTTGCTCGGCCGTGGGCAAAGGCCCCGCGGCCGGCCTCTCGTCCTCGCAGCCTCCCTCGCGTGAACAGACCCGCGTTACTGTAGCCCGACTGTCGCCGCCTCTCCCTCAACTCTCTCCCTCTCAATCCTACCACATAACAGATAGTGTTACTACTTCTATCTTAATCTCGCTCGGCCTCCTTGGCTGCTTTCACTTTCTACTACCATAACAAATCGGCACATAAAAAATTCTACACAACCTGTTTCCACTGCCATACTGTATGGCCCATACGATGTGAAAAGGGGAAACTTTCTGTTCTGTTCAGTCATCCATTTTCACGACCAACGGAGCTGCACCCAGGTAACTTGACTAGTCCTTTTTCATGCATCCATCTCCGGATAGCTAGAGATTTGTCCCACATTCCATTCGAGGTATACAGGTTTGATATCAGCACATATAAATCTGGTCTTTCAGGATGAAGCACCATCATCCTCTTGATAGCTTCTTCTCCAAACTGTAACCTTGAATGAAGCTCGCATCCATGGAGAAAAGCTCCCCAGACACTAGTGTCTGCTTGCATTGGCATATTATCTATAAACTTCAATGCCTCCTCTAGATTTCCTGCACGGGCTAGCACATCGACCATACAAGCATAATGTTTCATGGAAGGTATGATGTTGAAATGTTGTGCCATGCTATCAAAATACCTCTTCGCTGCAGTAACCATCCCAGTATGGCTGCAAGTGGATAAGATGCTTGTGAATGCTACATCATTTGGGTGGACACCATCTTTCAGCATTTCACCGAAAAGATCAATGGAACCTGCAGAATCGCCTTGCATTCCATAACCACCAATCATAGCACACCAAGTCACAGAATTACGGTCATTCATCTCATCGAACACCCTACGAGCAGATGGGAGATCGCCACACTTGTTGTACAGATTCAGCAGAGCAGTGCTGACATAAATATTGGACAGAAATGCATGTTTAACAGCATAACCATGGAAGGATTTACCAATAAGTAGATCACCCAGACAAACAGAAGCTGATAGGGCATTCACCACGGAGATGGCGTCGGGTGAAGGGCCCTTCAGACTCATTTGTTTGAAGAGCATCAGAGCATCATTGCACATGTTATTCTCAGCATAACCTGATAACATTGAATTCCACGCAACAACATCCTTGTTTGAAATTCTTCCAAATATGCAATTGGCCTCTGACACAGCTTGACACTTCGCGTACATGTCAACTAACGCATTCACCACCACAGTGTACTCAACCAGACCTAACTTAACAGCTATCCCATGAATACACCTTCCTAGAGACAAGTCACGTAATTGAGCAGAAGCTGAAAGAACGGTTGCTGTGGTAACTGAATTTGGAACAATGTTTGCAAACTTTTGGTCAAGAAACAGCCGTAATGCATCAAGAGGGTTCCCGTTCTGTGTGTACCCCACAATCATCGTCGTCCAAAGAACAAGGTCAATGTAGCTGAGCTCATCAAACACAGACTGAGCATCCTCTAGCTCCCCACACTTGACATACATATCCAGCAAGGCTGCACTGATAAATGAGTTAGACATTAAGCCTCGTTTGATCACTGATCCATGCATCCACCTCCCTTGGTGCAGACCAATGAGTGCAGAACAAGCTGTGATAACGGTTGCTATGGTGTACTCACTGGGAGGCACATTGTCCTGCCTCATCTTGTTGAACAGAAGGAGTCCATCTGCAGCAAAACCATTCTGGACGCACCCGCTGAGCATTGAGGTCCACGACACCACATTTCGTCCGGGAATTCTCTCGAACACCTTCCGGGCGCACTCCAAGTCCCCGGCTTTTGCGTACATGTCAACCAAGCTGTTCAACACGAAGCCGTCCGCGCCGCCGGCTTTGACGGCGTCGCAGTGCAGCCTCCTACCGTACCCGTACTCCGCGGACCTGACGCAGGCCTTGAGCGCGAGCGACAGCACGAAGTCGTCCTGCGCCTCGGGGCAGGGGCGCCGCCGCCGCATGTCCTGATGCAGCGCGACAGCTTCTGCGTGGCGCTCCGTTTGGACTAGACACCGGAGCATGACCCCGTAGGTGTACGCGTCCGGGCGTGGGGTGCAGTCGAACACCATCCGCGCGGAGGCGAGGTCGCCCAGTGCCGCATAGCAGCTGAGCAGCTTGGTCCTTGCGCGGAGGCTGCCAAGGAGGAGGCCCTGCGGGTGTGTGAGGAGGAGCGCGTGGAGGACGCGGAGGGAGGAAAGGGTGCCGCATGAGGGGAGAAGACGTAGGAGATCGCCGGCGGAGAGTAGACGCGCCAGGTCTTCGACGCAGAGCGCGCGTCGGCGTCGGCGGTTGGCTGTGGCAGAGACAAACAGTGCGTGGGCTGGGTATATGCATAATTGGGTTGCCTTCTCTGCATTTTGGCCGTTTTGGCCCCATCGGTTTAGCAGAGAGCCGTGTGGGATTCTCTCAGGCTGTCCAAACGCGCAGAGAGATGTTTTTTTTTTCAATATATATTTATTTTATTAATTATTAATATAACATAAAAGTATCTCTATAAATATTCCCTTCATTCTAAATTATAAATCATTTACCAGTGTAATAAATAGCTTGTTAGGGACATTTAGCGGCCGAGTTCTCCTCTGGCCAAGACTTGGTTATAGCGGGCTAAAACAACTAAATTGAACTAGAATACAAATAGTGACTTTATTACTATCTAAAACAGCTATAACCCTGTAGCGGTACCATACCTGAGTTATTACCTTGGTTTTTACCATATATTTAGACAACGTATATCTAGATATATAGCAAAAGTTATTCTATATCTATACCTAATAATAAAGAGATAAAATTATTTTATTTGGTCCATCTATTTTTTTTATCCGTCAACCTCTAACTACCAAACAATGGAGAGCTCCTTTCGTCCGGATTTATATATATAATCCAGGTTATACATATTGAAATAATTTAAATAGGAATCCTAATCCAAATAGAGTCATTTATGAGTAGTGAATATGAATCCTAATCAAATAGGAAAGAATATCTCTATTTCTCTTCTCTTCTACCTTTATTTTCTTTCCCGTTTTTTCCAAAAACGCTCAGACTTTCCTCTTTTTTTTTTTTTTTTTTTTTTTGCCTTAGAGATAGTCCGTCACGAACGCAAGGGCATCAGGCTTTTCCTGTTTCCATATATTTTGTTGATTTATATTTTTTAGTTCCGGATAGAGTCTTTTCCTGTTTTGATGTATTTTTATATTTCTGTTTTTTCAAGTTACGTCTTTCTTTTTTCAGTTCCGTTTAGAGACTTTTTCTTATTTTGATGTCTTTTTTTATCCGTTTCTTCCTGTTCCGGTTAGAGTCCATCAGCCATGAAATTTATTCCGTTTAGAGTTCTTTTTCTGTTTTGATGTCTTTTTTATTTCTATTTTTTCCAAGTCCGATTAGAGTCCATTGGTGATGATCTTTTTTTTTAATATTAAAGAGCCAGAACTCGGCCATCAAAATTTTTTGTTCGGCCTACCGCTTTAATCCTCCGCTCCATTCCGCAGTCGTGATGATATACCAAGGGCCTCATCTCCAACGTGGACTCCCATATACGAATCCAATAGGACAAATCGAATACTATACAACTACTCAATAAATTGAATACAAATTGGGTTAAGTTGGATACCAATTAAACCATATACACAAGGCACCATATCGGCGCAGGCGAGGTGGCGCGAAAAGATTTGAGGTCGGAACGAGAACGATGATGGCACGAGGCGCAAAGACGACGGCGAGGTCAAGCAATGGTGACGCGACCTGACAAGACGACGTCGTGACTCGTAAGCGAGACCGAGGTGAGGATGAGCGACAACGACAATGCAGGGTGGACGGGAAGACAACAACGCGGACGAGGCTGCTGAGTCGTTGGGGCATGTGGCCGGCCGGCCGCCGGGCACCGTCGCATGGAACTGCTAGGGCGTGGTTGCGTCGGGGCTCCGTGGCCGCTGGGGTGCTGTGACCATCAGCCCGTCAAGGCTCCGTGGACGCCTTGGCAAGGCTTCAGGCGGACGAAGTTGGAGGCCTTGGGTGCGAGTGGATGAGGCCTCGCGACTCCGAGCTAGCGGATAATGAGGATAAGAAAGAAGAGAAAAAATGAAAAAAAAGAAAAAGAAAAGAAAAGGTATTATGTGCATTTTATAGTTTTTGCCTAGCATAAGGAGTTTTTTACCAAATATTTCACCAAAACAGCTTCCTTCATCTTCATCACTGTAGCTGCTTGTGGAGTTGAAGTAAAAGAAGCTGCTTCACTGGTGATGTTCCTCATTAAGTAATTGTGTGTTATTGCTATAGATCGGCTTTTTAACAAAGGTTGTAGGATGAAATGTTTATACCCTAAGTAAATTCACTGGTACGTAGTATTCTCAATTGCATTTGTTGATTCTTTGATGTTTATAATAGGAAGTAGAAGTGAAAATGTGCGCTCCTGATCCTTCGTGCACTATGTCGTAGATGTAATTGATTACTTAAGTAGAATAAAATATATTGACTCAAAATTATTTTTATACTTTTTTTAGCATAATGTCGAGTGCAATAAAAATATAATGATATAAATAAAAAATTTCAGCTTTAAAGATAAAATAACACATACATGTTAAGGCTTTGGATAACTCTATACCTTTTCTCCCATTGCAACATGTTAAGGCTTTGGATAACTCTATACCTTTTCTCCCGTTGCAACGTACGGGCATCTTTGCTAGTATATAGAAAAGACAAAATGGCTTACAATTTGGTATAGGGGGAGTAGCATTTATTATTCAGCCATGACGGGAGAAACCATTTTTCCTTGCTTTATCAGCTTTCACTTCATTTTTGGAAGAGAATACTCTCTCCATCCACAAAAGAATGCAATTCTCGTTTTTTGAGGAGTCAACAAGTTTGAACTTTGATTAAAGTTATATAAAACTACGAACATTCATGATATAAAATAAATATTATTAGATTAATTATGAAATATATTTTTAAAGTAAATTTTATTGAAGACATAAATATTAATACTATTTATTATAAATTTGGTCAAACTTAAACTACTTTGACCGACACAAACTCCATAATTGCATTCTTTTGTGGATGGAGGGAGTAAAAAATTACTTCATGCTACATTGCAAAAGATTCTCTAGAAGTTTAGCCGTTTTGAGGGGAAAAACTTCCCGGTCTTAATAAGATAGGTTGCTATCATAGAGAATTTGTTTTCTTATTTATCCTTTGTTTTAATTCCTTTCCGAAGACCAATTGAGATGAATAACGCCGTATTTGAGCACCGATCGTCGTCGGTACATGGATCGTAGCTGCCAAACTTTTTGGTCTGTAGCCTGAGCTAGTATATACTTCAGGTTGTGACGTCAAGCTAGCTACTAATAATCAACACAAATGTAATTATCGATCTGTTAACTCTTACCTAAACCACAGAAAACGACGATTAATTAAATTTACTCTGCATGGTGCGCCGGTGTTCCCGTTCCTATCCATCTGCTACCGTCACAACAAGTACAGGGGTGTTAGACAGATAAGATGATGAGAGCATGCATCATAGAAGAAGCATTGCTTTGCACTGTGGTAATTGTATGACGGACGTGCTTCTCTGCGTTTTGGCCTGCCCGTCTGTTTTGGAGCTTTTGTAAAGAAGCAGTGCAGCAGCATCTTTTGCACGTACGAAAAGGATGAGCAGACAAATTATATATAAATCAGACGCAGGATCAAGAGAAGAGAGTTCAGTTCACTTGGCCCGTTAGGAGATCACATCAAATCTCTGTATTGCCAGCCTGCATGCAACAACTCAAACCTCTTGTAGTGTGCGCCAATTGATCCACCTGCTATACGCACCCCTGATGATATGGTTGCTGTTGCTATCTACTTTGATAACGGATCCCTATCTACTCAAGAGTAGATGCTGTTGAAAATGGAGGAAATCGTCTCCTGTTCTTTGTCCCATATCGATGGATCTTCGTGATCGGAACGTTTATCCCATACAGACAAGAAGCTAAGTACACATTTCATTTCTCAGTTTACCGGACCTAATTGTTTTGTTCCTATATATGAAAATTAAGCTACCCGTGAATGCAACCTCATCCACTCGTCCGACCTATATTTTTATATTTAGATCAGCATTCTCTTTCTTACTGTATACCACTTATTAGGAGCTAAGTAATTAATTACTCCTCTATAGGACTCTAGCTAGATGCATGTATATGGTACACTAGGATAGAGAGCATGCCTGCTCTGCTTTCGGTGCTATGTTTATTTTGCGCATTTTTGTGCTAGTCCCCACTATTTGTACGGCTAAAATTTAACTAGTTCCAGCAGAGTGCCAGGTGCCTGCAGCCTGTGGATGCTGGGAAGCTCCAGCCGGGTTCAGACGACCGAAAGGTAGTTAGTTAGCTTACTTATGATATCGCACCCGGCTGGCCCCATCAAATCAGAAAACAAAACTACCTGAGTACGTATGCATGAGTAGTTCCAGCGCTAACAGCACGCCGAACTGTTCTTATTAGACACTTGGATGGTTCGAGAAAAAGGATATACGGTGTACTATTTGGATTGTTCTTAACTTCTTATAGGGTCTGATTGGTTGCTCTGAGCTCGGTCATCCGGGATGAAAGCACCATCCAGGCTCTTCTTAGACCGGCTGACACTGTTCACCCTCATGTGTTTGGTTGCACTTGAGCCTTGCATTATGGATGAGTTCCTTCTCGTTTGGTTGCGGGCATAGAGCGTTTAGTGGTATGAAGTTGTGCCCTAGCTCTGTTTGGTTTGCCGCACGGCAACAGGTCTGGGCACCAAGGTATGGTTTTGGTGAGGTTACCACACTTCTCAGGAAAACAAGCAAGACAGATGATTTATTTGCCTCAGTTCAATTTGTCTTTTCATTGACAATGACCTTGGAGCATCTAATGATAGATTTGAACCATACAAAAGTCGTGGCATATAATAGTCAACAATATTAGGGTCACAATACCTCACAAGGTCATTGTCATTACAAGTTTGCACGGCACATTTTGAGCATCACAGGCAGTTGTAGCAACGAGCAAGAACGAACCACAGGAGCACCAGCAAGAAAACAGACTGCGCCATAGCCACAACAAATAACACC